TCTTGACTCTTGATAGTCTTTTTATTCTTATTCTCGACTAGTTTGTTAATGTTGCTGCCTGCTGGACTGCTTGGACAAGAATTATCAGTTTTGTTTGATTATTTTAGTCAATGATATTGTAAGTTGCAAGTTAAATGTTTGTTGAAATTTGTCTGCTCCTTGGCAACAAATGCTTGCAGGCTGCAGCAACATTGGTCAAACTGCTTTCCATTTCTGCTTTTCTGTGAGTTGTGAAAGTAAAAGGCTTGTGAGTTGTGACTTGTGACCTGCTTGTAAAGAGATGAGAATATGCACTTGTTGAGTTCCTGCAGAGATGAGAATATACAAAAGAATATGACAATGTTAAATACCTGCACTTGCGCTGAAGCCTTTTTTTTTCAATTCCTGCATTTCTGAATCTTTTTTTTCAATTTACTAAAATTATCCATATGCCACAGGCCACTGTTAATTAAATTTGGTTAAACCGAAAACCAAACCGAAATAAACCGAACCAAAATTATAATAACCGAACCAAACCGAATTTATTTCAGTTTGATTTGGTTTCACATTTGGCCAAACCGAAAACCGAAAAACCGAACCGAAATTTAAAAACCAAACCGAACCGACCGAACGCCCAGCCCTAATTGAGACCCTATTTATAGACACTACAATACAACCCTTTACTAAGTAGGATACTCCCTCCGTCCCATTTTATGTGGCAACATTTGACCGGGCACGAAGTTTAAGAAATAAAATAAGACTTTGAAATGTTTACCAAATTGCCCTTTAAAAAGTAGACTATTTTTTCTCTCTCCTCATAAATATATTGGAGTATTATTTTAAGATTAAGTGGGACCAACAAGGATAAAAGATGAATTGTACCTTTATAAATTTACCATATAAGGAAATGTGACATTCTTTTTGGGACTGACCAAAAAGGAAATGGTGCCACATAAAATGGGACGGAGGGAGTACTATTTACTAATTCTATTTCTATTTCTATTCCTATTCTATTCTAAATACGATTGCATAAACCTATTCCTATTCTAAAGTAGGATTGTATATACCTATTACTATTCTAACAGAGAGCAATTTCCTAATTTATCCCAATATCAGAAATCAATTAAAGAAATCCGATACAGGTATTTTGCTAAGTTGAATAAAACGTGTCATGTCACCTCTTCAAGTCTCAGTCTGTTGCATGCTCCAGTGTTGTGTCTCCATTTGAAGCACATTGTCAATTGGGACACCCTTCTCTACATTAGATTAAGAAGTTATGCCCTCAATTTCAGAATATTTCTTCATTGGAATGTGAGTCATGTCGATTTGCAAAACTCTATCACATTTCGTCTGGTCCAAGGGTTAATAAACGAGTTTACTCAGTTTTTGAGCTAGTTTTTTCTAATGTTTGGGACCATGTCCTATTGTTTCTGAAATTGAGCATAAATATTTTCACTTTTATAGATGATTTTTTCGATAACTTAGATTTACTTTATAATAGTCAATCTGAAGTGTTCACTTACTTTCTTTTTTTTTATGACAAGGGAAACCCACAGTCGCTACCCTTTGGGTGCGCACAGAGTAAAACCCTCGCTCCTATGCAATAGCTCGTAAACCACATAAGAGAGGTAACCTACACTAGGCAAGCCCGGTGCGACGAGCTCGACCCAGAAGGCAAACCCCTTGCTTTCGCTGGCAAGGGGTTTCAAACTTGAGACCTCCAACATGGAAGTCCTAAGCCCAAACCACTAGGCCACCCTGAAGGGTAACCAACCTGAAGTGTTTACTTACTTTTCATCATTTTGTGCTTAAGTCAAAACTCAATTTAATCACGCGTACTTGTTGCATAATCTAAGGAGTGATAATGCAAAAGAATATATGTCAAAATTATTTTGATCCTACATGAGACAACATGGTATTCTCCATCAGTCTTCATGTGTGGATACACCCTCTCAAAATGGAGTTCTTGAAAGGAAGAATAAGCATTTACTAGAGAACTCGGACACTTTTGTTCCTATTGAAAGTCCCTAAACAATTTTGGCAGATTCCAATCTCTACAACTTATATTTTGATTAATCGCATGCCCTCTGGCGTGCTTCCTGATGATGCCCCTTACAATGTTCTCTTTCCAAACAAGTTACTATTTTCGATGGAGCCTAGGGTGTTTAGAAGCACTTGTTATATTCGAGATGTTCGACCATTTGTTACCAAGTTGGAGCCCAAGGCATTGAAGTGTGTTTTCTTGGGCTACTCTTGTCTTCAGAAGATATATCGATGTTATTCTACTGAATTTTGGCAAATATCTAGTGTCAACTGATGTAGTATTTTTAGAGACTACACCATTCTTCTATACACCTCCTATTTCTACAATTCAGGGAGAGGAAGACGAGTGGTTAGTCTATCAGGCTACTCACTCATACAGAAAAAAAGGTTCTCTATTGATTCAAAGCAATCAAAGGACGTTGTTCCTCTATCTCTTAGTTCTTCTATTGAGCATTCCACATTTGCTCCATCTTTGTCAGCACGATGGCCAATTGTTCAAGTTTACTGAAGAAGTCGAGAAATCGATTATACATCTCCTACATCAATTCCTTCATCATCGGATCCTCCTCCACCATTACTCTTCGAAAAAGTACACATCAGTGCAAATCTACATATTCCATTGTTAATTTTGTTTCTTATGACCACTTATCTTATGCATCTAGTTGCTTGATTTCCTTTATAGACCTATCTCAGTACCCAAACAGTGAAGGAAATCTTGAATAATCCTGAATGACATGATGCAATGCTTGAGGAGATACATGCTTTAAATGAGAATCACTCATAGGATTAGGTGGATTTACCCAAAGGAAAGAAGACGATAGGATGCAAGTGGGTTTTTGCAGTCAGTTAGTCTTGATAGCTCTATCGCAAGACTTAAGGCGAGACTTGTGGCTAAAGTCTATACTCAGACTTAAGGGGTGGATTATTTCTCCTCAATAGCCAAGCTCACCTCTGACCGCTTGTTTATTTCCTTGGCTACTACTTAGCATTATCCCTAACATCAGTTAAATATCAAGAATGTGTTCCATCATGGTGATCTCTTTGAAGAGGTGCATATGAAGCAAACACCTGGTTTTGTTGCTAAGGGGAGTATGAAAAAGTTTGTTATCACAAAAAATCTCGACATGGTCTAAAGCAGAGTCCTCGGGCTTGGTGTGACAATCAGGTTGCTCTACACAATGCCTTAAATCCAATGCATCATGAGAAAACAAAACATATTGAGGTCGATTATCACTTTGTCCGTGAGAAGATTCAAGAGAATATGATTTCTAATGGCTATGTGAAGATAGGAGAGCAATTGGGTGATATTTTCACGAAGGCTTTAAATGGAACCGGGTGGAATATCTTTGTAACAAGTTGGGCATGATTAATATTTATGCTCCAACTTGAGGGGGAGTGTTACATAATGTATATATGTACATCTTAATATAATATACATACCACGATCATAGGTAGAGATATTTACGGATTTTATGATTTTATTTCCTTAGATAGATTTGTACTTGTAAATTTGCAAATAGCTCACCCTAGGAAAATACAAGGAGATTTTCTCCCTTATCTCTTTATCTTACAAATATCTTTATTTTATTAATTCAAAATGATAGATCAAATAAAATATATAAAAAGCTTTAAGCAAATAAAAAATAAGAAATTTACAAAAGGATATATATACACACACTAAACAGGCACCCAAGGGTGTGGCCTAGTGGTCAATGAAGTGGTTGAGAACCCTGAGGTCTCAAGTTTAGAACTCAGTGGAGACAAAAAAACACTAGGTGATTCTTTCCATTTGTTCTAGTCTTGATGGACAGAGTTACCTGATACATGTTGCTGGTAGGATGGCCCGGACACCACGGTCGTCCAAAATATATATATATTAGGCTGGTACATGTTGCTAGTAGGATGGCCTTGACACCACGGTCATCCAAAATATATATGCAGGCGTTCAGTTTTTTCCTTTAACCATCATTTTGTAAGTACATCAAAGGTCAAAATATATATAAAGAGATGTAAGTAGATAGTTCTTTTACACCAGCTTATCCAAAAAGGTTTTTAATGGGCAGCCTAAATAACAAAGAGAATTTCTCTGAATAATAATCTGGAAGAACCCGTTTATCACTTTGTGCATCAAGCTATTATTTTTCTCCTTCAAAGTCTGTAACATCTCAAATATATTCTGTCATTTTTATTTATGATTAGTTGGTGCATCTCTTTTACTCACTCTTCAACCAGTCAAAAATTTAGAAATGAGATGTTGTTCATCTGTATTATATGTCTTACTTTTAGTCCCTCTCTTTCAGTCCTATCTTGACAATATGGATAAAGGGTCCAGCTGCTAATGATATTAGCGTATATTCACTTCAAAAAATTTGGCAACAGAATTTACCGTTTGGCACAAGCGCAACTTAGGCTTGTTCAAAGTTGGTTTGAAGGAGAGCTTGAAGTGATAGAAAAGTTGGCAAAGTGGAGGCCTCTGCTATTGAAATTGACGATTTTTTGCTTGCCATAAACACTTCTAAATCCTGAAGCTGAAGAGAAACCTACATTAAAGAGTAAAATATCAGAATCACCAGTCTAGGATTCAGAAAGAACATTTGAAGGAGCTAATTTCAGGTCCCTGAATTCTTTTCAGGTAAAGGGTAAAAAAATGCCTAGACTATGCCAAATGGAATAATTCCGCTCTCCCATAAAAAAGTGTCTCGTTCCTACCCGTGTGTTACCAAAGTGCCTCAATTTTTGCCTTTATGGGTTAATGGCAGCAGCTAAACGACAAATTTATACCATTCACAAAGTCCAAGATCATATTCAACCTTTTCCGTTGAGCCCCTTTAACAGGAGAATCCATTTCTGGCATTTATCCCAAAAACACAATAACATTTGTTGATCGCTTTTTAAGTTATTTGTAGTATAGATTCACATAATCAAGTAGAATAGAACCATATAAAGAAAAACAGAAAGCCCCATAAGAAAAGCTTTAAAGAAGATAACGACTTATAAGAAATATCAGCAGAAGTAAGTCTCACCTTTGAAGAGAGTATTATGCAACGCCAATATCAGGAACTGAAGCAACAACAACAGAGAAAATTAAACAGAGTAAATCAAAGTGAGGAAGAGGATTGAAAATACAGTGTAATGACAAATCAAGTGTTGATTGCCAAGTTTTACAATGACCTATGTCATTCCGTAAAGATATATACATACGGACATGACACTGTATCACAACTATAGGCCAAAATATGCCAAAATTTGGTGTACAACTCAGATAACATTGCGTGTAAAAACTTGTTAATGCAGTGTTCTTACTCCTTAGCGGCTTATATCAATACTAGACGGGGACCCAACATGCTTCGTTTAATGTAACGATTTTCATTGTAATAATACAACTTAAGCAGTTAAGTACACTTAGCCGCCAAATGCCTCTATATTAACATAGGCAGAACATGGCATATTCATGTACATATTCAAAATAGATAAACTCCTTTATACCGTTAAATGATATTGACGACCAAATAGTGGTCAAACAAACTGTAAAACCCAAAAACTAATTCATATTGATGTTTAAATAGATACAATAACCAACCATCCACTGTACCAGACCTATTAATCCGAATAGGGATTAATGATCTGCACCCCTAACAGTCAGCAGAGGCTTCCAATCTATTGGTATGATACTGAAGAAGTGTTTATTTTTAAAAAGAGGGGGAAAAATTGGGAGTAGGAGAAGTGGAAATGGGAGAGAGGATAGCAAGATGTGGAATCAAACCCTCACCAACAACGTGAAAGTTCAAGTAACCAACCTACTAACTGAACTAATAAGGTTGTTCAATTTGCCAGACAACATTATCCTTGCCCTGGCTGTCATTTTTTCTCTTTATTTGAACTAGGCTCTGCTTGTAATTGAAAACCCAAAAGCGACCCATGATTAGGTCCAGCTGAAAGCCAAGATCTATAACTTGTCTTGTTGTGGGGTCATATAATACCAACTGTGAGGTTTCTGTGATTTCGAAAATCATCTTATCCTCCTCCCAGATGCTGCGAGGCCAATGAGCAACTATTTGAGGTTGAACACTAAGAACTTTGGTCCAACTACCCTCTAGGTACATCACCCACACATCATATATGGATGTCATTGGTTTACCAGGATCACCAACTAAGATAGCAAGCGAGTCACCACGCAACATAAGCTTTCCCCACTGTGCCTTTGGAATATCCGGGCCTTGCATCTCCCCAAATTGTTCGCTGCCCATATCAAACGAGCATATGCGGAAGATATTGTCTAGACGCCAAGAGAGCCAATAATATACCCCGTTGAGATGTGTAGCACCAATGGGCTCGTGTAAGTTACAACAGTCAGGGAAATCAGGTCTCAGGTTCTTCCATGAGTTGTTGCGTATGGAATAGACACTGACAAAGCAATTACAGGAAACGCCCAGTCCCCAGTCATCCCAAAATTTTCTAATACATAGAACCTTATAATCTCGAGTCAATGGGTCAAACCCCAATGCAAACTGATCATCATGATCTTTGAATGGCTGAGGCTCAAAGGACACAGGAGGCAGAGGCCAGAACTCCCTGGTGGCAGGATTCCACAAAGCCAAGCGAGCATTGTCTTCATCCAAAAACGCTGCTTTTTCCACCAAGAATAGGCCATCAACTGGGCCAACAATGGACATGAAATCAGAGACCCTCCAAAGCTGATGGACAGTTTTTTGTTCAGGGGAAACACCTTGAACTATTTTGGCAGGGAGCAAGGAAAAAGCAATGGACTTTGATTTATCCAGAAGTGTTAAGTTACAAATGAGTAGATGGGCATGATTATGCTTGTGACGAAAATGCATTTCTACAAAACTTGGACTTGTGATGAGAGCATACCAATGTTTGCACACACATTTGAAACGCACAAGTGATTCCACAGGCAACCTTAATAAAACATCCACTAATAAATCTTTTGGTAAATGACGTCTACCAGCCATAATGGTGTTCCCAATTTAATCTTCTGTGAAACAAAATGTCAAGAAAAATTGAGTAGTACTATTATGATGTGATCAAAGTATCAACTAAAAAGACAAAAACAAATAGAAAAATGAAATTCATAAAAGGCAACAATTCTCCCACAGTGTCATTAAGAAACAAAATTTTGAAAAGTGCTCTTAAAAGATTTGTAGTCTTCCCATTTCATCTGCTTTTCATTAGGCAACCAAATGATCCCTCTAAATCACAACTTAGCATATATAGCAATTCTACAAGTAAATACACAACAATTTCGACTAACTTGGAAATGGTTTAACTTAACACAACTTTCAAATAATCCTAGCAAATGAAAAATGCAAAGAATGGTCAAAACATCATTATTAGTACAAATTTGGGCACAAAGTATAAATTTTATGGGTAAAAATTCACCAAAGTTGCAATAAATAGTATATGAACTCGTAACTTTAAAAATATAAATAAGCTTGGGTTTGATTTGGTTAGACAATATGTGGTTGGTAAATAAGGATCAATATGAAGTCATGATTTTAAATGCAATTTGAGATCCCAAATTCTCCAACAACAAAGAAAAAAACATGATTTTTTCGTATTTATGAGATAAAAAATAGTAACTAAAACAATCCGAATAACAAAACTTCAACTTCAGATCATTATTTCATATCACATGTCCATACGGTCCTAAGTTCAATGCTAAGAAGTATAAAAGTTGAACCCATAGAGTTTGAATCCCAAAGTGAATTGGGATACAAAAACCATAATAGAAACAGAACAACAAAACCCTATATTATCACCAAAATAGAGAAAAATGAAGAGAAATTAAAAAGCTAACCTTGTAAGCTGAGGAAGAAGAATGAGAAATGAGAGTAGTGAAGAAGAGTCAAAAACGTTGTCAATTTATTGTACTAGGATAACCTCTGGGTTGGCAGTCGGCAGATAGCATCTCCTTTTTCTCTTTCTTTTTTCTTTTTATGTTTTATGGTAGAGAAAATGACATAAACAGTCGCTTAACTATAAGAGTAAGTCTAAAGTGGTTCTTTAACTATACAATTAATGGATTTAGTTCTTTAAGTGTATAGTTAAGGAACCATTTTAGACCTATTTCTATAGTTAAGGGACTGTTTATGTCATTTTCTCTTTTATGGTACCTACCTACTTTTATTTATATTCTTTTCTCTTTTTTTGGAGACTAAGATTTTTATATTTTATTTGTTTTGATTTTTCAAATGGTGTTTGATATTTGTATTGGAGTCCATTTATTTTGGATTCGCATTGGGTAGGACCCATTTGATAAGAATCTTTTAATACTCGTAACTTGAATTTGAGACCTCTAAATTAAGAGAGGACCAGACTCATCTACTGCACTATATACTATATAATACTCCCTCTGTTCCTAATTACTTGTCCACTTTTCCTTTTATAGGTTGTCCATTTTGATAAATCAAGAGAGGACAAAATAATTTAATAATTTTACATATTATACCCTTAATTAATCACTTTTGAAAAAGGTACAATTGCTTGAAAATCTTAAATTTTTAATCCATTCACTTCATAATTAATAGGGGTGAAATGGTAAACTCACTATGTCAATAATTGCTTTCTTTTTTTTTTCTTTTTCTTTTTTTAAAGTAACTCCATTGATCATTGATGTGCAAAACTTACAATTTGAGTTTGGCATACCAAACTTTGTACATGATCATTGAGGGGAGTTCACTAAGCTATACTTAGTCAAAAACCTATGGGGGATCGTAGATGATATGGGATGGTTTGTTCATTTTGATCCTGAAAGAGTGAATATCCCCATTTGTCCATATTGACTAGCCCCTTTACTTGATTGGGAAGCTCAGTATGAGAGTAGAAGACATGGATTGACTCAAAATTATGGCTCATGCTTGCCAATTTATCAGCTGGTCTATTGGCTTCTCGAAAACAATGCTTGATTTCAAATCCATTCTTTTCAACTAACTCTTGGATTTCATTGATGATGTGTAGAATCCTCCAAGGCACTTTCCATTCCCTTCTGACGCATTTGGTAATGAGGAGAGAGTCGGCTTCTCCAATGATCACACTATGTCCATTATTTACACACCATTTTATGCCAAACAACACTGAAGTTGCTTCTGCCATGTTAGATGCTCCTGGTCCCAGAGGTATTGAGTAAGCACAAATAATTCTTCCTTCATTGTCTCTGACCACTCCCCCTCCTCCACATATACCACGTAAACAACTCCCATCACTATTTAACTTAACAATGTGAGGGGGGGAGGCTTGTTCCATTTGATAGCTCTGGAAACTCTTTGCTCAATGTTTGCTTCACAAGCATTGCAGATTGCACTCCATTCCTCTCCTAAGTTGGCTCTTCTAAACTTCATTTTTAGAACCTGCACAAGAGTATTTAGAACATTAGTCTTGGTCCTATAGAAGGATACCCTCAAGTTTTCAAACTTTCTACTACATTTTGCTTTCCATATCTCCCACACTATGATTAAAGGAAGAATTTTGGTTATATAGGTAGCAAAAATGTTGTGGGACTTGTAGTTCCACCAATTAAGTAACATCATCTTGTAGCTCCTGCTGGTGTGATCGATTCCTAGAGGACCTGCAAAAAAACTCCAAATTCTTTTAGCGTGGTCACCTTGACAGAAAAGATGGTTAGTGTCTTCTATGATATGATCCATATTGTTGTTGTTACAATAATAGCAGGTACAATCAACTTGAATACCAAACCTGGAGACTCTTTCATTGGTAGAAAGTTTATATTTAATGACTCCCCAGTTGAGGAAGGAGATTTTGAAAGGAATATCCTCATGCCAAATGTTTTTTATAAAATTGTTACTGTTACTTTTCTGCCTATAATTGCTCCAGGAGGATTTAATAGTGAAATTTCCATTGGTGTTAGGGATCCAAATGGCTTTGTCTCTTCTGTTGCTATGCAACACATTATTGAGCTCTCTAATTTTATCTTTAATGTCCGCATCAGGTTGATTATGAAGCTTGTCCCAAACCCACATTTCATCAATGTAGACATCTTTGATACTGATTTGTTGTTGTTGTACATTATTAGGAAACAAAAGATATAGAGGGCCAACATTAGTCCAATTGTCATACCAAAAGTCCACCTCTCCTCTCCCAATGATCCATATGATGTTCTTGTCCACCTCTTCTTTAATGTTGCAAAGAACTTTCCAACTTTGTGGTTATCCTCTGCTCCATTGGGACTTGATAGGGTGCATATTGTTGAAGTACTTAGCTTCCATGAAATTCTTCCATAGTGAAGTAGTGGTTCTGAGGTTCCACCATTGTTTTGTTTGAAAAGCATGGCACGTGTCTTCAAGATTTCTGAAGTTCGCTCCACCCTCCTCATAAGGGTAGCACAAGTTCTTCCAAGAGGCCCAATGATACTTACCTCTAGTGTCTTGCCCTGTCCAAAAAAATCCAATAATGTACTTCTCTATAAGCTCAATGGTACCTTTGGGAGAGTTGGTAGCTGCAAAGAGATGAATTGGCATCGCAAGGAGTACATGTCTAATCAAAATAGCTTTTCCACCGGTGGAAAGAAATTTAGTATGCCAACCTCTAATCTTGTTAATGATCTTGCTTACCATATCTGAGTAGTGAGAGATCTTTTTTTTACCAGTAATAAGAAGGCAACCAAGATATCTAATAGGAAAGACCTGATGTTTCATACCAGTAATGATTTTGAGCCTGTTAATAGTAGCAACTTTGGTATTATTGGCCACTGCAAAACAACTTTTTTCCTTAATGAGTAGTTGACCAGAAACTTCCTCATATATTTTCAGAGTTTTAAGCATCATTTCAAGAGGTTTCTTGCTACCATTACAAAAAAGAATAGTATCATCTGCAAAGGATAAGTGATTTATCCTTGGGCCATTAGTGTTCATATAGAACCCCTTGTAGCCTTGTTTATCATACAAGTTATTTAGCATTTTAGAGAGTAATTCAGCACTGATGATAAATAAGGATGGGGATATTGGATCTCCTTGTCTCAAGCCTCTACTGGAATTAAAAAAACCATGTCTTCTCCCATTAACAATAACAGAATACCAGTTACTGGATATGAAATTGTAGATCAGATGAGTCCACCATTCAGAGAAACCAAATGTCACGCCCCGAGCCTACACCCTGGGCGGGACCGGCACTCGGAGACCATTGCTGGCCCCAAGCGAACCCTTGGCCTAGCTTTCTTAACTCGAAACTTGAGACTCTTTACTTGACTTGAAACTCTATACTCTTTGCTTGACTTGAAACTCTATACTTAACTTGGAACTTGAGCCTTAGAATGAAGTTAAAACGTTCAATGAAGACTCTTGAAAAGCTTTAAAGACTTGCTTTGACTTGCTTAACTCCCTCATGATGTTTAGGAATGATTTGGGACAGCCAAACTTAAGAAAATCTCCGAACATAATTTCTGAAAACAGTGGAGTCCGCGTCCTGTCCGCGACGCGGAGCAGATTTTGTTCACAGAGGGAACAAGTCCGCGACGCGGACGTGCTCCTCGCAAACTGCCCGACTTTCTCCTTCACGTCTCCAACTCTAAATCCTCTAACCTCAAAGGTTCCAGCCCCAATTCACTTAGAAACATGAAATCCCTCAACATTCAATAGATTTCAACTCAAAACCCCAACCGGAAACAAGTCCCAACTCATCAAGAATCTCAACATTACAATCAACAACTATACCAACAATAATTTCAACAACTAACAACTTTAACAACTCCAACAACTTCAACCACAACAACTAACAACTTTATCAACAAAGCCAATCCTTTCTTGATAAGTAAAAGGGGCTAGGTGTGTGGGGGAAAGGATCACCCAACACTAAAAGCTCACATACCTTGATAGGGATCACCCCCGACGAAAACCCACGATGATCTCCTCTTCTTCTCTTCTTCTCTTCTTCTTCTCTCAAAACCCTCACTCTCACTCCTTTTAAAATGGTAAAACTGATCAAAATGATCAGCCTAACACATTTATATAACCCAAAATAAAAGGCTAGGGAAAAGACCAAAATACCCTTAATTTTCCGGTCGGATTCCTTGCCCAACTGCCCAAATTTCAATGGCCATAACTCGCTCATACGAATTCGGAATTGAGCAAACTCGGTGGCGTTGGAAAGATCGTTCCACGAACTTTGAAACCATAACTGGAACTCCACCTAAATCATCTTGAGCTAAAATTTATGGCTGTTCAAAGTTGGCTAAAAATTCACATTTTTCCATACTTAGCCAAATTTCCAAAACTTTAAAATTCTTTCCAAAAATGAAAATTTCCAATTCTAAGCCTCTTCAATTATTTCACATTGCCGGATGTTACACCAAATCTCTTTAGAGCCTGGCAAAGGAACTCCCAAGAGACTCTATCATAAGCCTTGGCCATATCTAATTTTAGCACAACATTTCCTCCTCTAGCAAGCTTCTTAATATCATTGATAATTTTTTGTGCAAGAAGGATATTTTCAGAAATTCCCCTCCCTCTGATAAAACCAGATTGGTTCTTGGATATGATTTTGGGGAGTAAGCTGGAGATTCTGTTATTGAGAATTTTAGAAATGACTTTACTGAATACATTGCAAAGGCTAATAGGTCTCAGGTCAGTAAACTTCTGGGGGTGGTCTATCTTGGGAATCATAACCAAACAAGTATGAGTGATAAACTTAGGAAGTTTTGCACCCTGGAAGAAAGACCCAACTGCTTTGTAGAGGTCATAACTTATGATGTTCCAAGCACTTTGATAAAAATGTCCACTTAGTCCATCTGAACCTGGAGCACTATCTTTATCAATGGAAATTATGCAATCTTTAATCTCCTGCATAGTGGGGATAGATGCTAACATAGAGTTATCATCTTCAGTTATGCACCTCTCAATACAATCTAGAGCTTCAAAATTGGAATGATGAGTGTCTTGAGTAAACATATTTTTGAAATGCCTA